TGGATCAAAGGAAGAGCGGTGATGTGCTCAATATTGGAATGGCTGATGACTGTGCTTGAAACATCGGTGTACATGCGTATCTGCGTATACTCCAAGTTGTCACTTTCGGTATCCAATGCCATCAAGAATATCGCACTGTAGCCGCCAGACCTGAGTTTTCTCTCCGGTGGTGTTCTCTCCTCCTGCAATGCAAGGTGATGTTTGTGAAATCATGCGAGTGATGAGGAGTCGTCGGGCGGCTGAGTTGACTCTGCTTGTGTAGGGTAGTGAAATGGGCCATGCCCAAGGGATGATCAAAGCTTCTTTTTGACTCTCTCGGTCCGCGTATCGGTACATTTTCTATCGTGCTTGTTGTGGTTGTATTTCAGCTTTGTGAGACGAGAGGGGGAGGGGATGAGAGAGAAAACTTCTGCGACTGAGCCCAGGTGGTGACTGCGCCATCAGTTGTGCAGTTCCAAGCTTACATACAGACGAGTGGGAAGCTGCAAGTGTATCACCGACCCCACCATAAGACAGCTCCATCCTTCCTGTTATCCTCCTGCCTGATGGAAGTGAGAAGTACCTCAACAGTCGAGGTACAAGATCACAGAGACAATACCTGAGGAGGTACTTACCTTACGTATACGAATATTGTACTGCTGCAGGATCAGCATCCTCCGGTGGGAGCTGGAGATGACGATAAGCCCGCAAGTCCGTCACATCTCAACTTTTCAAAGCATGGGATGTTTTACTAGCCACCGACATACATACATACACACAGTACAGTACTCCGTACAGCAAATTACAGCAAAGCTCACACAGCTAGCACAGCTCCGTACGGGCTCGCGCACGCACTTGTCTATAGCCTAACTTTGTAGATCCATCCCACCTCATCCATTTCCATGACGGGAGACACTGACGCTACGGCACGATCTCCAAGCCCACTAACCCTGGGCGACCCACTCATTACAGGTGTCAATTGGCATCAACACCAGCCTCCAACTTCAGCTCCGGTTCCAACTTCACCAACAAAAAGTCCAGGTCCAAGTCAACCCCCCGATCCCGATCCCGGACCCGGACCCGGACCCAGACCCCGACGCCTCCAATGCCTTCTCGATAGCATGCCACCCCCTACCGACGACGAGACGCCGTTCCCCTCGTTAGACCACTCGGCCCTCCATGGCTTTGGTCGTTCCCATCTTTCCCCTGACGATGCCTTTGTGTCGCCTCCTCGAGGGCCACGAGGCCGGAGCCGAAGACGTAAACGCCCGTGGAAGAAGCTGATGTGGGTTAAGCAATCGTGTACGCCTTAGAAAATCCCCGTGTTGGACAATGGCAGCTAATAATTGAGCCTGCAGACCCCGATAACTACACAGATCAAGCCACCTTCCTCGAGAATCTCCAGCGCAACCCTCGTCTCAAGCCATATGACTTCTGGCCACTCGTCGCTGACTCGACGGTCATCCTTCAGCACGTCTGTTCAGTCATAATCTTTGTTGTTTGTTTCGTTGGCATATTTCAGGAGCGCGTGTCTCCTGTTGCTGTCACAAGTTGGAGCAGCTTTGCTACGTTTGTAGGATGGATCCTCTGGGAACGTTGGCTATCAGAAATCGAAGACACGGATGACCCGAGTCTTGGCGTGGCAGCGAATGTGATGGGAAGGGCCGGTCGGACTGGAAGTCTAAGGCGACCAACCCGCACGGGTAGTATCCGGCGTCCAGCTCCGCTCCGGGTCGAGTCGGCGCCGTCTACCGCCGCACCCTCTGCTGTCGGTTCGGCAGCGAGTTCAACAACCAATCTGCATGCGCCCAGCATGATGCATCGAGCTCAGTCTGCTTCGACGACCTCCCTGGCCAGTGGCATCGCACACACTCCACGAGCGAGTCAGGAACATCTCCCTGAACTACCGCCACCCCTCCTGGCAGAAGAAAATCGATATCGACAGAGAATGGAGACAGTCAAGTCTGCGATTCTTATCTATTGCACGCTCCTTGGACTGAGTCCTATTCTCAAGTCTCTGACGCGATCAACATCAAGCGATAGCATCTGGGCCATGTCCTTCTGGCTTCTCGCGATCAACATCTTCTTTTTTGACTACTCTGGAGGTGTAGGTGCCAAGTTTCCAGCATCACTGTCCACAAATGCTGCTTTGATGGCATCGACTGTACTCGCCAGCCGACTACCATCGACCAAGCAGGTGTTCAGTCTGACACTCTTCAGCATCGAGGTGTTTGGGTTGTTTCCAGTGTTTCGACGTTATGTACGACATCGAAGCTGGCGCTTCCATATCCTGTCTGCCATTCTGCTGGTCCTAGGTGCAAGCTTCGGAGTCGGCCTAATCCTGGGATACGATAAGAACACAATTGGATGGCCATGGAAGAGTGGACTAGTGGGCATGATTGTCGGAATGCTCATTGCCATACTGGCTACAGGAGGCTGCAGCTGGTGGCTGATAGGGCTTCAGAAGTACAAGAATGAGATACGAGGACCGTGGGATCCTGCGAGACCCATTATCATGAATCGGCCTCGATGGGATGACGATTCATGAGGCGATGTCTTTTCTTAGGCATGTAACTATTGTTTGCTTGTTAATGTATTTAGACCTGCATTTACTGTCCTGAGTAGAGAGATTTCCATCCCAGTGACTACATTTTGGAAATTTTGACAAGATCTTTATTTGCATCGTGTTTTAAAGAGAACGACAAATGAGTCCCGCTGTATAATATAAGCAATTGCCAAACGCAGAAGCAAACTTGGCAGGATTTCTATATTGAGCCAAGCTTTTTGTTCAACTCCACAAGGCTACGCTAGGACGCCGACATGGAAAACTGTGTCACAGATCGAGAAGTGAGCGAGTAGGTATTGGATATCGATCGAGGTTCTGAGGAAAGGCAGAACTGACTCTGGCTGAGGTTTGGTGGCTGAGATAATTGGAATGAAATCGTAGGTGGCAGTTGAGGGAGACTCAACATTTGGTATGTGGTACGTACACTGCGAATGGTGGTTGACGGCAGTGTGCTGCTATATGTGTACTCAGTCATTATTATACATCACTACCCACTTGAAGAGGAAGACTTGATCATCCTCTCTACTACTCAGTATGTAGGTAATTATACCATGATTTTCTTAGGGAATGGAGATCCATATGTGATGTTGGCATGATGTGATGCGAGGTTATGTAAGTGCTATGCCGTACTCGCCTGATTCCAAGCCTCGACAACACGTTACTCTGGATACGAGATGCATGCACTGATGCAGCCGCTGATCGGTGATGCTGATCTGGCCCTGCATGCGAGGATGAAGTCAAGAGAAGAAAAAGCAGCTGCAAGAGACAGCTACAGCAGTATTCGTTTAAGCATCACTGCGTTTCGTAGAGTTGCACTGTCTAGACACCTCCCCGAATTAGAAGCCGACATGCACCAATAGCGGCGAGGGAGAAGGAAGATGTTTTGTTGGGAAGCATTGGATACAATTTATCCGTACAAGGCCGCCCAAAAGTCCTAGTGAGGCGAGGCACTCTGAGGAGGCACTTTGGGACGACGCGTAAGTGCTTGTATGCACGCGCATGCACAATGCGTGAGGGGGCAATAAGCTGACGTTGATGGATGAGCTCGAGGATGTGAAGATGACATCCAGAAGAGACTACAGCAACAGTAGCAGTAAGCCAGCTCAGCCTTCAAGGTTGCCACGATTGATTCAGTGTGTGAGAGCTGCGGAAGCTGAGATGGTGCTGCATATCATGTTCTCATCCTGGTCTTTGTGTTGTTTAGTGGCGTTTCATAGGAGCATGTATGTTGACGGTAAGGTTTTCTAGTTTCTTCTAATATCTAGCTCTATCTTGTTCCAGACGGTATACTCTGTAAGTCGAATGAGTGAATAAGTGAGAGAAACCAAAGGAAGCTTCGCGTTGGAAAGGAAAAAAGAGTAAACAGACGAAAGGAGCAATTTTGATGCATGAACTAGCATCATCATCAAACCTTAATAAAGAGAAATAAAGTTACCGACCATAGGTATGCTATGGTAGGCTACTTCGTATTCAATACATTCAACGTGCGTATGTTTCTAGATCTGGAAAGACATTGACTGTTGTGATGTTGTCCGGGGCAATAAATCCCTAGTTTCGAGGGTAGCACCAATTTAGTCTCCCCCCTCGTCTTAAAACATGCACGGATGCATACCAAGAAACGCCATGGGCAATGATGGCGTCGCCCCCAAACGGCAAACGGCAACCGGCACAAACAAGGCAAAAAAGAGTAGCAGATTTAGGGGATGAGGGACTAGAAAAGACAAAATAAAACTCAATTTTCCTTGCTCCGAAAGTCGGTGCCGAGCACAAATGACGCTTATCAGAGAAGATGATGGAAGAATACCAAAAGAAGGAAAAGAAAACAAGTAGAGTTTTATGAAACCTCAGACGATGACACCCGACAATTACGGGAGTTGTGAGAATGTTACTGAAATATGGTGATTGACAGGCCATTAGAACTCTAACAGCGCTGTAGACCCACCGAAAAAGGTCAGCGCCTATGCCGCAGGACTCGGCATGATTGGTCAGTCTGGACGTTTTATGTACAGTACGCAGAAGGTTGGTGTCGGCTTCTCGGGGTTGGGGGGTACTGAACCAGGGGTCCAGGGGCACCTCTGCAGCCTGAAGCTGTGCTAGAGCTTAGCATTGGATCAGGATCAGGTCAATGGTCACCCCAATAGCAGCATCTTAGCCTGTATTCGTTCGTAGTCCAGCCACTTGTTGATGTCTGCTGTCTGTCACTATTGACTGGGCTAATAAAGTATCGGGACTTTTTAAGTTTGCAAGACTCTACTATATTGTATATAAGGAGGCGATGCCGACCTGTTCCAAGACTTGTCTTAGTTGTCTCCTGTACATCCCTCTCGTTGAATTGAATTGACTTGCATTGCATCTGTCTAATCGTTGACTCTATAACTCAAAGCTCTCTCGCTTTCACTCTATCGTTTATCAGTCACAGTACAAAGATCATTCACACCACCACCACACATCCAAGATGAAGGCTACTTTCTTCCTCGCCGCTGCTGGCCTCGTTGCCGCCCAGGACTTTGGTGGTCAACCCGAGTGTGCTGTAAGTCACCCTGATCCAATGGAACACATCCATCCATCCAATGACAGCGCCCAACTAACATCCATCCCACAGCTCAAATGTCTCCAGGAGAACATCCCCAAGGCCGGCTGCAAGCTCGAGGACACCGCCTGCCAATGCGCCTCCGATTTCCAGGAGAAACTCCTCCCCATCATCACCCCTTGCCTGACCAAGGCCTGCGAGGCCCAAGACCTCCTCAAGGCTCAGTCGGCTGCCGCCGAGGCCTGCAAGGAGTTTGCTAAGACCGCCGGCTCCGGCTCCAGCAAGCCTACCGCTACCTCTGCTGCTGCCACCTCCGGCGCCGTCACCGTCAGCATCGACACCTCAGTCACCGGCTCCGCCAGCGTCCCTGCTATCTTCTCCAGCATCCCTGAGGAGTCTACTGTTGTCCCCGTTACTCCCCACCCCGGCAACGGAACCTCTACCAAGACCAACGGAGCTTCCACCCCCACTGGAACTTCTGGCTCTGGTTCAGGCAGCGAGAGCAGCGCCAGCAGTGTTCCTACCGGTAACGCTGCTGCTGTTGCTGGCCCTGCCTTCGGTCTCCTCGCTGCCCTCGGTGCTGTCCTTGCTCTGTAAGAGCTCTTATATCTGTTTGCGTATAATTTCATCTTCACCACGGAGCATTTCATGGGACGCAGTACATTGACATTTACGATACAAGGAAATTAATAATGCGTTGGTCAAAGATCCATGGATAGTGTATCACTTCTTCTTCTCCCAGGGGTACCCACGGTTGATTAGCTTGCCATCGAGAGTGATGGGAAAAGTAGTAATAGACATGTACCAGCTTAGTCAGTAATAAACAAGCATTGAAACTATTAGTTTTCAGTTAACACGTATCTATGTTATGATTCGTAATGATAATGGTGGTATCCGTAGTCGTTCGTCTAGGATTTCTCACAACGGCGGCCCAGCTCTCACCAAGTCTACATCAATCAGCCACGGTAGCTGTATAGGTCTATATCTGATATCCATGATCGCTGCGTTCACAAACAATGTTTGCTCTCCTTGAATCACGCGACTGTCGCCCTGAGTGAGGTCCAGATGTGCAGCTCTTTGCTTGCTCATCTCGATTAGCTTCACCCTCGTTGCATTGGCCTCCTCCTCGTTCTGCGTCACGCGATTTGGTCGTAGCCCCCTGAGGCCGACTTTTCTTGACACTTTCTCATCAATGTCATTGCCTTTCCATGTCACATGGTGCGTCCCCCAAGCTTCATGAATGTGGCCGAAGCAATGAATCTTGGGTTTGGCACAAGCGACTGCGGCACGGAGATCGGGACAGCCAGCGTGGGTTCCAGACATGCCAGCAAAGTCGCAGATACCTTGAGGAGGACCGTGAGTAATGGCGACATCGGTTTCCTTGGGGATGTTGAAGTCGTGTCCATTATCATATTGAAATGCCCAGCCACCATACGAAGGAGTCCATGGACTCGCATACACTTTCAACAGAGCGCCATTTTGCAGGGTCAACACATGAACGCCCTCTGTCAAGTACCGAACACCGTCTTTCTCAGCCTCCTGAAGAATAGTCTTGACCTTGTCGAGCGTGTCCGCTGAACCGCCATACTCATTGATCCAATAATCGTCATGAAGCGCCATGTCATGGTTGCCCGCAATGACCAGTTTGAGAGGGGCATTGATAGACCGTAACATAGAGAATGTATTTTCGAATTCAGGAATTGTAGTTCGCTTCGTGAGGTCCCCACAGTGAATAACAACATCCGCCTCAGGGAGGGGATCTCTCCAACCTGTCGTCACACGCGAGACATCCTTTTCGTTGAGCTCATCATCAGTGGTAGGTCCGCCTTTGTTCTTGGGCTTTGGCTTCGACCCGTGCGTGTCGGATATGATAAGGATGCGGGTTTTGACATGTTGTGTAGCAGATGTTTCGGACATTCTAGTAGAGAGAACTGAAGCCGATCATGGGAGCATAAAATTTAAGGTTTGTTGAGTTTGAGTGTGTCAGAGACAGAAGAGTTATTGTCGAGAGAAGAGTAGATGATGCTTTCACCAGGGATAGTAACTCTATTTCAGAGAATGATAATTCTCAATATAAATTTGAAGGAATATTGTTGCCTAGTTTGTGTTTGTGGATTGCAGTTTATACCATCAGAGGTAGGTAACCTTTCATGTCTACTAAGAGCTCACCCTGACGTCGCTGTTTAGGTATTCAATGCCCCCCAAGGACAGAAAAAACGAAGCCTAGCGTGTGCGTTGTCTTGAAGAATGACATTGTAAGAGCATGAGAATAAGACACGAAAGTACATAGAAATAGACTCATGTAAGAAGAATATTGCTTAGTATAAGATTTAAGTTTGTACATAAACTGGGAGGAATTAGAGTCGAGTATTATTAACAAGCTCTCTAGAGACCTGTTCTTGGCTTTTTCTTTTCTCCTCAGCCGTCAAATGAAAGATGTGGGCCTTGCAACTCTGCGTGCGGCCCCTACCCAATTGCGCTCCAAACGCAGCATGAACATCAAACATCCTCCCACAAATCACTACCCTCAACCCCGATCTCTATATTTAACTGTTCGGAATTAGTCTCTCTCGATACAGTCCCTGGAACATGGCGACAGAGGATTCTCAAGACGTCACAATGGGATCGCCTCCCAAACCGCCTGCTGAAGTAGACCAAGAGCCCAAATACGGTGGCTATTCACGATTCGAGGTTGAGCTTGAGGTTTGTTTGTATTCTCATCTAGTAGCGCTATGAGCCCATAGCTAACAGATATCGCGCGCAGTTTGTTCAGTCCCTCGCAAACCCGGCCTACCTCAACCATCTTGCCTCCCAGAAGCTTCTCAGCCAACCTGCCTTTGTCGCATATCTTGCCTACCTACAATACTGGAGCAAACCGCCGTATCTCAAGTACCTAACGTACCCCGGCCCGACACTACGACATCTGGAGCTCCTCCAGCAGGAGACGTTCCGGCAACAGATCATCAGTCCTGATGTCGTGAGGGCACTAATGGAGGAGGGCATGAAGGCATCAGTCGATTGGCACCGAGAGAGCTAGAAGGTCCCTGCCAAGCTGAACAGCCCTTCGCAGGACGATACGAAAGGCCCAAGTAACACCAAGAGGAGTCAGGATGACGCTGTGAACGAAAGTATGCCTGACACCCCGCGAAAGCGAAAAACTCCCCGCAAGAAAAAGAAGCATTCCGTCATCAAGAACAGTGCGACGCCCGGTGGAACAGATTCTTAAACACCTCTAAAAGAAAAGCATGACGGCCCAACTCCGTTTCTCCTTGCACAAAGAAAGCCACTTCGCTACGAAATCCAAAGCAATCCTTCCCCAAACTCAGTTCTCTCTCCACCGGTGACCACAGGTCATGCACTTGTAAAAACTCGTCATGGGCTCATCAGCACTGCGAATCTGAACCTGGAAGAATGCTGCCTCATCTCCCTCGCATCCCTCGTTAGGGCACTGAACACGACCCTTTTGCGCATTGTCCCAGGCGCCAGGACCGCCGAAGACATCCTCCTTCTCGACACGCTCATACATCCGTCGCGAAAAGACAGGCTCGGTGATGTGATGTTCGAAAGGGCAAGTTCGGCATTCGAGTCGGTTGGTTCGTGTATTTGTGAGGGAGACGGTGAGGATATTTGCGCAATGAGGGCAGACTGAAGTTTGTTAGTTTGGAAGAGGCGCATCAATTTTGGGGCTCCTACAGAGTAACATGATGACGGTCACTATGCTCGTGGACGAGAGACACGGTTTGATTGATTAGGGGCGACGTTGCTTTGCTTAGGATGGGTCCTCTTGTTTGGTAATTGTCGTAGATTTAGGTGCGGTTGAATAGACAAACGATCTTGAATTGAAGATGGAATGACTAAGGTAGTCTGTTTTTTTTTTCATACTGACGGTAGAAGCGGGCATGAAGCTGCTTGACTTGATCTGGTTGGCCCCACTATCGCCCAGGCTGGTCTGGCAGGTCTAGCGCCATCTTCTCCCCGCCATTTCCGCCTGAGCTCCCTGTGGTGGACTTGGATTAGGCTGCCCGGGCATCACAGTGCCCCTCCAAACGCCGACCAACGAAACATGAAACACTCAAAACCTACATAGCACAGTCCATATTCACTGCCTCCCTTGAGCCACAACGACACGACCAGTCTGTGCATTCTCCGTTTCTCACCTGCCGATATTCTTGAAACTCTTCTGACTTGCCAACGGGGTTTGTCGGATTCTTCAGCGCTTGACTTCGTCATTGTCAATCCGAACATCTAACTAATACCCCGCTCTCGCGAACTCCAACTCGACTTGATAGTCAACAAATTTCAACATGGCTGGAGATGAAGAGCACGATGTGAGTTACATCATGCTTGGCACAAAAGACTCCCGTCCCAACAGATCGGCGAATTAACCCAAACTCTACCAGGGCGCCACCGTCCAGGAAATCCTGATCGAAGCCTGCCGCCGTAACAACCTCGATCTTCTCAACGACTGTCTAGAGGACAAGTCGGATGCCGAGATCTCAAAGCTCCTCAACGAGACCACAACTGTCATGGGCAACCATCTCTACCACGAAGCCGCCTCCCGCGGAAACTGTGCGCCTCACATACCTTCACCCGTGCGCATGATCCAGACGAGCTAACCCACCGCCTCAGACGAAATTATCGACCACCTCCTCGACCAGCCCGAATTCGAGTGCGACCCTATCAACCGTTCAGAAGGTGACACACCTCTTCACAGCGCCATTCGTTGGATCAACTCAGAGCCGCCTGCACAGCGACCCTTCGGCAACGCCCTCGTCGAGATGATGCTCGAGGCCGGTTCCAGCACACGAGTCAAGAACAAGGCCCGTCTTACCCCCTACCAGCTTGTCGATCCTACAAACACAGAACTCCGCGAAATCATCCAGAAGCATGAGTATGCGAACCAAAATGCTGGAGACTTCATCAATGTCAACAACTCGGCGGGCCATGGTGGAGCCGTGCTCGATGTTCCAGACGACAGTGACGACGACGCTGAGTTCAGTGGAAGCGATGAAGAGGAGAGAGCTGAGTGGGAGAGAAGGCGGAAGGAGAAGCAGCGCAAATAGACGCGCAACATGGCACGTTTGCACAAATTCAGATATAGAGGTTGCTTCACAATAAGACGAGGCAAACCAGTTCACGGGTGGATATAAATCATCAAATCTCAGAGCGATAGAACCTAAGTAGCTTACGCACAGGTGCAAGAATAAGCATTTCTCATTTAAGGTTATCGAAAAGGGGGTATAAACGTTCTAATCAGGTATATGGTGCGGTTTCTTCTCCATCGTCTATCGTTTCTTCATGGCATCAAAGGAGTGTACTTGAGATCAGGAACCAGCCTGAAACCCCATGGACAAAAGAGAACTGCACAGCTCCAATGGCCGGATTTTGCATAAGACCCGTTGTAGCTTATACGAGTAACCAAATTGCAGTCGCCAACGCTGTAGAACCCATCATGACTTGGATAGGTGGCACATGGTTTGCGAGGCTCCTCTCAGCTACGATATAACTGACGTCCCTCAGCTTTTTCTGTGTCACCTCCGATAGGGTGCCGGATTGGGCGAGCTCGTTCATTTCATCCCCAAGTTGTCGCAGGATGTTAGTTGAGCGACCCTTGGGGCACATGATTACCTCCCAGCCTCCGCCGTTAGGAATAATGAACGTGGACTTCTGGTCGTCATAAGCAAAACTATATGCATCGGGGCATATAATCTTGGCTCTCTTGCTGTAGGCAGATGGCTTGCAGACATCTGGGTCGTGGTACTTCCCTACACAGCAGTCCTCATCGGTTCCGTACGCAGCGCATGCGCTGTTACAGGGGGAGAACTCTGGCCGTTGAATGTCGTCGTCTGGATAAGGATAGACGCCATCCCCAGGCTTAGTGGGTGGAAAAGCAAGATATTTCCATGGGCACCAGCTTCGGGCATTGTCGCTGCTGACTCGAGTTTCAAGGGGAACAGGGTAAGATGAGTTTGTGTAATATGTTCCCGTCTGGCTGCTGGCGTAGATCCAACTAGGTGTCGCAATGCAGGCGCAGTTGGTCAGATTCGGCGGGATGAATGTTGTGTTCTTGGCAGGTATGTAGTTGACACCCATCGGGAGATTATAGCCATCAACCAAAGAGAGGTCGTAGAAAGTCTGCTTCCCATGCAAACCACCGGCCAGTGTGAACTCAGCGAGTGTTGCTGGCGTGGAACCCTGTTGGTGGTTAGTATTATACCACTCTTGTTCCCACACAGGCCACTTACACTGGCTTCGCAATCCAACATCCCAAAACAATCTCCAGTTTTGCAGGAACACGAATCACCATTCACAGTACAATTCGTACGACCCCAGACCCGACCTTGCCAATCCCAAGAGACCCACAGGTCTTTACTTTTTCCTTGAGCGAGCTCGAATCCTCCAGTTCCAGGGCCTCTGCCGGCCTGTGTCGCGATGCCGGGCCAGATTGTCGAGTCACATTTGTTGGTAATGGTCAAGGGAATTGTCCTGTTAGGATCTTTTGGTTCCCCTCGGTTCGGAGATCTAATTCGTCCAGGGAAATGCAGAAGACCGTCGTGTGAACCCTTCGTGGCATCTTGTGCCCCTTCCGCCCCTGCGGCGCTAAGGAGACACCCGACGGAAACAGCTGGTACCAGTACTCGACAAAATAAAGAAACGCTACTGGCGCCTCTACGCCTCGACGAGAAAACCATCTCACGACCCGAGGACTTTATTCCTACCAAGAAGAAGAAGAAGTTGAACGTTGGTAATTGAGACTTGGATCCAATAAGCCTGTCGAATGAAGTTGCCTCAGATCCAAAGTGTCAGGAAATAATAATAAGTGCTAGCCAGCCGTGATCATAACGCTGAAGGGACTATTCAAACTGCGGTCGAGAGGCAGATATAAGACGAACGATAGAGTTGGTTTGGAGCCAGGGTCCAGGGTTGACAGTGACGTATAGGCGGCCGTGAAGGTGCGAATGAGGGACCGTTTTCTTGATGCCCAGAAATTGTTTCTTGTTAAACCTAGTCGAGTTGATCTGCGGTTCAAGCGTGGCAACTGAAAATGACCAGAGGAAGGACGAATAGTTGGCCCAACGAACAGGGATTGACCGGCCGAGGGAAACGAGATAGGGCTAGGCTGTCGTGAAGGAAAGACGATGAGAGGGCAAAGCACGAATCTGAAACGACCAGGGGTATTAGAGATGATGTTGTAACAGCTATTTTTAGTGTCTGATCGCCCAAAGACAAATACCAGGAAAGTAACAATAAAGAACGTAAAAGAGGATAAAGGCGAGATGAAAAGACTCGCCTGGAGCAAGGCAAAGAATCACATACCAACGAGAAAGGAGAATACAGAAGTGAAGGGGAGCACAAACAAGAGGCAAGGTAAGGTAGCCCAGTGAGCAAAAGAACAGAGTACCACATGCTGCTCATGGCAGGAACGAACCCATGGCTGGTGTTCCTGCCATTTCCTGGTGTTGGTTGACATGGCAGGTCAAATATGACGTCAGAGCAATCACGAATCAGGACGACAGAGGATGCACCTCAAACTGTAGGTACCTACCCACGAGGTACCTTACTCAGATAGGCTACAAGTAACTGTTCACATCATGAGCTACACTTATTAGGTGTTAATATAATGTCATTGTGAGTGAGTCAATCTCAACCTGGCAACGAAACAACAACCTTATTCCCACGTGCGTGGTGTAAGAGACTCTGCCCCACCTATCCAATTACCGTATTAGGAAACCTGAATATCGTCAAAAATCGAAGACACCAAAAAACATACAACACCGGGGATTCGCTGGTCGTCACCGACCCAACTANNACGAGCTTTGGTCGTATGTGCTCAACCATAGTCTCCCTGCGATCTATAAACCTATGATGAGAAACTGTGAGCAGCTTCAGCATGAGACTTGAGAGTGTGCATTGGTTGCTTTTATATGGCTCTATAGCCTGTGTTCATTCAACTGAAAATTCATTGTCTATGTACGAGTAATCATCATGTCGTTCATGCATGTAACTCTTCCCCTCTTTATCCCGGAACGTAGCACCAGGCTCAGTCAGACACGTTGGTCTATTCGCCATGCCCCGTCCGTTTGAACTTCTCAATACGAAATCCAACATCTTTCGCTCGACATGTCGCACGTCCTCTTCGCGTGCCCTTGAGGCAGTTATAAAAATAATCCCATTTGCGCGCTGACTTGGCGTTATCTCGGGTCTGTGTCTTCCTAGGTATCATGGGGTTTCAAAGTGAACCTTAAACTTATCGACTTTCGCTTCCGCCTCTATTTTAAGCTTGTTTACCTGAAGCGAGAGCGGCAGCGGCCCATGACTTCGCCTTGACAAACAAGTTCGGCGCTGAATTCCGAGCCGTCAAGGGTCAGGTAAATATCGAAGTAAACGCGGTAAAATGTGCCTTGAGGAGTATCCATTCTCTCAAAGTCCTTCTCCAAGTTCTTGCGAGAAAGATCCGAGGTAAGAGTAACAACTTCCTTGATACCTGGGATATGTTAGTCATGTGTTGTGGAGGCTCAGAATGAATGTTTAACTTACGTGGATCCTTGGTGTATTCAGGGCAGACATCATCGTCGCAGGCATATAGCACATCCTCGTACATAAGGGTGGCACCTGGAGCGACTTGTCGGAAGAAAGAGACCTTGACAGGTTCGCCGTTCTTGACCTTCTGGCCCTTTTGGACGAAGATCTGGCGGGTGAACTTGCAGCGGTCCTTTCCATCGAGAGACGGCACACGATAAGCCTCGGGGTGATAGCCTTCCTTAAAGGGCTGAAGAGTCGCCATGAGGTAATGTCGTCGAGCAACACGATGAGTAACAATTCGCTCTGTGATACCAGCAGTAACAGCACCCTTGACGATGGCAGCCACGGAATCCATGGGTCGGACAACCTTAGACTGGAACTGCGGAGGGACATGGAGTTTGATTTGTTGGAAAAGGTACTCAGAGGCACCGAAACCACCGACAACCAGGATGTTCTGGAGAGTGCGGTTCTGGGCCTGGATGGCGATGATCTGGTTTCTCACAAGCTCCAGGATACGGTTGACAACGGGCTCGAAACACTGGAGAATCTCCTCGTTGGTGAAGGTCATGTAACCCTCCTCAATACCAGCCTCAGGGAACTCAGCCTCGATACCAACGTCGACAGCCCACTTCTGACCGTTGTTTCGGAAATCAGCCTTGATTCGGTTCTCGAAGTCCATGATGCACTTGGCGTAGACTCGGCCAGCGGTCTTGGAGCCATCGGGAAGCTTCATCTTTCGAATCTTGGTGCGGAGAATGTTGCTAAAATTACGATTCAGGGCTGTTGAACCACAAGAGTCACCAGAACCAGCCGTACACTCGGCAACAGTGAAAGGATTCTCCTCCTCAACCTCGTAAGCAATCAAATCGACCGTACCACCACCACAATCCACAATCAGAACAGCGTCGTGGACCTTGAGGTCCAGAAGACCGGTCTTGGAACAGAACAAAGCGGCAGCCTCGGGTTCTGAGACCAGAGTCAGGCGGTTGTCGTTCTCATCGCGAAGGAAACCGGCCTGGATGGCAGCAGCTCGAGTGGCGGCCTTTCCAGCATCGTTCCAGATAGCAGGGACGGTCAGATAATATCGGATGTTGCGTTCTTCTCGGTTAAAGACTTCACCCAACGCCTTTTGCAGAGCTGACCGCATAGCCTGTCGAAGCTTAAAAAGGTAGTCGGCGGCGACATCGATTTCTGACTTTCCTGGAGGCAGAGGAGGAAGGTTGATAGGATCAATGTATGTGTTGCCGCTCAGCATCAGTTGCAGCTTGAACCATTCAACCTTTTGTACACCGGGCTTGGGATAGCCAGTAGGAGCAAGGGCATCGGCAATATCGGGTCCCCATCCTACCACTTTCTGGTACTGATCGTAATAAAGCACTGTTGGAATCTGTCAAAGACAGCTGTTAGCTTGCTGGCTTCCTTGATTCGTGTCTTGATCCTTGCTGGCATACCTTCTGCTTGGTATAAGAGCCAGCACCTGGCCACTCAGTAATGATATCTTCCTTGGCTTCGTTGTTGGTCGCGAAAGCGAAAGCAACACCTGAGAATGTGGTACCCTGTTGGTTGTTAGTTGGTTACAGGATCTGCTGCGCTGGTAGCTGGCCTACAAAATCAATTCCAACAATGAGCTGAGCCTTGCTCTTGCTGGCGCCCTCGACTTCAGCAGCAGGGCCTGGTCGTTGAAACTGCTGGTTCATAGGAGCACCAGGGGGACCGGGAGGAGGATATCCTTGGGGAGGCGGTGGTTGTTGTCCAAACCCAGGAGGACCTCCCATCGGAGGAGGACCTTGACCCATGGGCGCCATTCCGGGAGGGTAGCCCATTGGGGCTCCGGTGTTGATCGGAGGAGGGCCGCCGACCATTTGAGTTGGAGGAGTGCGGTTGGGCTGCTGAGCGAGAGGACTGGTACGACCAAGAGGAGCTTGACCGGGAGGGAAGTTTGCGGTATAGCTAGGCGGACGGTTGCCGGGGCCCGGGTGATTC